TATATAAATTTATATCATTTTAATACAGATTTACATATTTTCTGTAACCTAGAAATAGGTCTATGTATACTTTGTGTCTGTTTTTAACGTTTCAATCTTTTGCTTTATTTAAATATCAATTATCGTAAATTTTAATGATTACATTATTTCATATAGTATTTTAGATAAATTTATAAACAATTTTAAATATTTAAATATAAACTATGAAAGTAAATACACGTAGATTAGATCAATAAAAATGGACATATTAGGTCTAGTAATCTTTATCTATTCATTAACACGAATAACATTTTCAATATTCTAATCAATTTTTATATAGCCGGAGTTAGTTTCGACCTGAGGCAAACCTTTGCTAAAAAAGTACACTTTCTCCATAAAAGCTTCTTCTATGAATGGAATGACCTGTTCGAAGCACGAACTCCTGTACCGTCACGATGTTTAATCGTACGGGAAATCCACTCACGATGCGGTACCGTTATGATTTTAATCGTACGGGAAATCCACTCACGAAATATTTTCAAATTTTATTATATTACCACCTTTTTATTACATAGATCTTTTTCAAAACATAACTGCTTTTATAACATTATATAGACCCATTAAACACAAAAACTGCTCTGGCTTTGGGGGTTTCGCCCCCGACCCCACCGGGGCCCTTAGGCAGGCCCCTGCACCCCACGCCCAGAGAACCCCCCCCCCCTTTGAAATGACCTGGCTACGGGCCTGTCTTTGTACATGAGTTAGCAACAACAATGGACCTTTCCGGCGTGTTCAGGGCTTACCGGAAAAGTTCATTCATTGCCATTCCGGTGAGTGGTATTGTATTGCACTTTTGTCATTTAGAAGTATGTTTTCTGTAATTTGAGAATTTCTTTTGCTTTGTCAAATTTTATGTGAAAAATAATGTGATATGCACATATTTGGGCATAATATGACATCATGATGCCCATATATGGGAAAATCACACAAATTTGTCACATAAAATTTGATTGTGCCGACAGAGCTTAAGACATACTGTAGGTTACAAAAATTCATTAGGCCTACCTAAAAGAATGTTTTTTTTTTAAAGCTCCAGTAAATCAAGAACATCAGTAAAGTAAGATAGCAATTGTTATTGTCGTGATGGAATAGACAATAACTGGACTTGCGTCAGGAGAATCAAGTATAGGTGTAATTTTGCCTTACCTGATGTGGAAATGTACTGAATACTCAGTACATGTGAAAACAATTGCGAAAAAAATCGCAAGTGTTTTTTTTTCGCAATTGTTTTCACACGTACTGAGTATTCAGTACATTTCCACTTCAGGTAGAGCAAAATGACACCTATACTAAAGTAAGATATACACCAAAAAAACAGATCTATTATTTTATTCTGTCTTGTTTATTTGTTTTGCCAGTGATCTATTAATTGACCCTCTACAACTATACTCAGAATCAATTATTATTAATAAGAGGTTGAAATTTATTATCATTGTATTTAAATGTATTTTCAGAAAGTGGAGGAGTTTCTAGGTAAAGGAATCAACTATGTGGTTACAAATAGACCGGAGGGTCGAGAACTTGAGAAGAGAGGCAATGCAGGAGGTAGTTCTGCTGAAAGCCCATCAGTATCAACACCAAGCCCCTTCCAACAAGGAAAAGGGTATGTACACTATCAGTACTATTATTCTTATCCAATTGTATATTCATTGACGTTTGTAGAACTGTTCATCCCAGCAAGTGTATAAGACTTGCCCTACACCCTGCACCATGCCCTACACCATGCAACCTTCCTCATCAATGAAAAGAAATTATTTTGTTCATAGTGTTTAAAATTAATTTAACAAATTATGAATTGTACACAATTGCAGATTTATTGACATTTTCCCAATTTTTTTTGCAAATTTTCTTTTATAATATTAATAGTTCAAGTCTCATTTTAACATCAGATCATTATTGTTAAAATAATGATACTGTGATCTATTCAACACAACACAACATGGGTGTCCCTGAAAACAGATTATTAAACATAATAAAATATGATTGCACACATATACAGTCAAACTTGCCTAAGTCGAATCGAAAGTGCCACTGAAATATAGTTGGACTTAGATTAAATTCGACTAAAGCAAAGTCAAATTTTATTCGAGTTATATCACAATAGCAATTTGACTTGGTGTGTAGGCCTTACGGAGACCCAAACAAATTAACACGCACTAACGGTACATGCACTGACGGTACACGCACGATGTTGACCGCACAATTGGCCTAGAACGGTAGAAGTAAAGGCCTAGGCTACCTAAACTTAACCTTGAAAGCAATATTCTTCAGAGTAGCAATAGATTTAATTCTTCAATTATTACAGTATATTTAAATGTTTTGTTAACTGCGTCTATGCCATTCTTTTGAATACATTATAAAGAGAAATCGGTCAATACTTAGCCTAAATTAAAGCTTAATCATATTTATATTTGATAAACTACCGTAACATTTAATAACTGATTTTTGCATGGCCATCAAGCGAACACATTTTAAATACAATGACTTCTGTTGGAAAATCCCAAAGACCAAACCAATACTTACTAGGTGAAAGTCTATAATATATATATTTCACTACATGTATTAATCGTAAGTAAACCAGATGTGTATACCCCGCCACAAAATGGACCGTTCAAAAATCGCCCACTACTCAACTCATGCACGTGCTTGCTTCTTTCTGCACCGCAAGGATCCAGGCAATGCTGTGCATATAGTTTGTATGCAACGAAGATCTCGATGAAGATAAAACTACAGTAGCACATTTGTTTTATATGACAGGTTATTCCCTATACCTAAATTCCATAAGACATTTATTTTACGATTACTGTATGTATCTTACAATACAAAACAATCAATAATTTACTGTATTTAAAAAAGAACTAACAAAACCTGAAACAGTGCTTAGACATTAGTCGCCGTTACCACATATATGAACAATAGTGAGGAATGAGTTGAGTCGCATGTAAAATAAACTACACAAAGTACCGCTATGCAATGTAAACAAGAGTCACTTGTCGGGCTTACATAGCGTGTGAATTTCTGCATTTGCCAAATGTATGAGTCATTTGTTGACATTCACAGCGATGTTGGTAAAACGGTGACATCTTAAAATGATAGAAGTTTTACGTCAAGATTTTGACTTCAACTTACGGACTAACAATTATTGGAAAACAAATCAATTTGGCATGTAAAATATGTTCGACTTTCGTTGTTATTCGACTTGAATTTATTCCGAGTTAGAGCAAATTTTAACCATTGTAAATATAGGGAAGATGAAGTGACATGAAAATAATTTCGACATTGACAATTTTTTGACTTAGGCGAGTTTGACTGTACGTCAAAAACAAGTAAATGTAAATGTGCTAAATTTACTTCTTGTTAACTATATCTATTTTTTGGTTAGTAGGTCCTCTAAAGATGTAACAGAGTCTCCCTGTGCTTTAACTGGAGAGAAAAACAAGGTAATTTGTTTTATTACAATTTACATTTGTTAATTGGTATTACTGAAGTTATCATATCTATAATTTCAATGTTCCTAATTATTATATTGTTGTATAGTAACATTGAATAATTCTTTATTTATGAGTTTCAAACAATGTTTGACCTGTTTTTTTATCCTATTTCTTAATTCTTTCCTTTTTGCATTTGATTTTAGTCTTCCAGAGGAAAAACTATAGCAAGTAGGGCTTTGACATCACAGGTAAATTAATTTTCACTTATAATTGTTTAAATTATTATGAATCAATCAATAATTGATGTACTTGAATTTGGCATGTAAGATAAGACCGACTTAGAAATTATTCTTGTAATGCGAAATCAACTTGCGCAAGTTTTACTGTACTTGAACTCCATAATTCTGCTGTTTAAAAATTATGATGATGTTTTTTTTTTATCTTGTAGCAATTTGGGACTGTGAGCATCCTAACCCAAGCCATCCAGTGGGGAGTGCAAGTGAAACATCTTGACAGTATCCTTACTTTAATGAACTTTTCCCCATCCCTTGTATATTTTTGCAAAGGTTCGTTTGTGGGAAAACATGTGCGCATGGGAGACATGCACATATTCCTGGCCCTATTCTGATTGGTCAAATATTGGTTCGATTCTAGCATCCACTAACTTGGGTTATGGCCAAGAATATTAATAGGCATAGGCTTAGCCTGCGAGCCGTCCGGCCGTCTTTTGGACGGCCACCAATTATTTAGGACAGCCACTGTTACTGTGACGGCTTGGACGGCTTGGCCTAATCAGCTCGGCCTAGCCTAATTGGGCCTGGTCTACCTTTAGCAAATTCTTTATATTCTTCAAATCTATCGAATGTTACACTAAACTAAAGCTATTTATGTTTGATAAAAACAACATTTATTGAATAAATATACGTTGTTTACATACAAATATTTGGTGGGGATTCCCAAAAAATGTAAGGCTTAACCATTGCCAACCCGATGAAAAGTTCACGTACAACACGCGTCGTGTTAAAAACATTAATACCCTGCTGGAGAATAGACAGCTCTGAGTCGCCCAAAACGCATGCACATGGCTTAGCAAATACAATACAGGACTTGAGATTTGTACTGTAAAGAAGTTTTGTTGTTAACCTCACAAAGTTAAATTTTATTAGTCAACAAAATACAGTAGGTCTAGGCCAATCTCTCGATTTGGAGGACCTAGAGTAGAATTTACACTAGACTAAAGTGAGAGATGAAGATGCAATATCTGCTTAGCCTAGAAATACTGTTGCTGTGCACAATCTATGTATATAACTGAAATATTTTTGTGATTGCTAATTCAACACTATTCCTTTGAAGACAAAATTCCAACATTTAAACACCTTTAAATGCCCTCTAAAGATCATAATTTTCTATTTTTTTCTTAGTTTTGGGAATGGCGTAGCCTTGAATGGTCACATTGGCTCAGGGCCAGGCTTACTGGCTTCCGTTTTGGATGGCCTATTTAATTTTTCTGGCTAAGCACCTGTTAATAGGTACCCCAGTAGGATGAAACTATTTGAATGCAATGATTATATGCTGGTTAGTCTTTCATAACTATTAATACTCTTCAGGGAATAAAGATTCAAAGTTCAACATCTTGGCCCATTAATTTTTTAATATTCTTGGATTAGTTTAGGATCAGGAACTCTAGTCATAAAAATTGACTAAATAAACTTCATTTCATAGTAACAAATATTTTTTTCATTTTCCTTTTCTTTTTAGGAACATAAATATAAAGTGACTGGCTTAATTCTTCAGTTTTTATATTATTTTTCTTAACATATTAAAGGTGTTTTAAAATACATAAAAAAAGAAAGAGAAAAACTTGGCATGAGTCCATCTGCAAGTCAACAGGTAAGATTTAGCAACCATTTAAAGCTTCAAGAAGATTTATTAAATAGACACAATAATAATAAACTAAATAATAATAATAATTTATAAACTAAACAAACTCTTTTCCTTGTTTCCCCTTTGTATTTTTTTGTGTTTTATCTTTACATTGCATATCATTTTTTTTTTGTCCAAAAAACAACAAAGCTGACAAACACAAAATAACACAGAGGGAAAGAAAACACTCAGCAAGTTTGATAAGATTAAAATTTCTTGAATTTTGCAATAAAAATATTGCACGGTAGACCGAGATCTGCATTCAAATTAATACAGAATCAATGTATTTGTTGTTATTTATGTGTCTGAAACCGTTACCGTTACTGTTGCACCACCGATTCCAAATAGAACATTAATAGTTTAATATCTGTTATGAAGAGAAAATTTTACTGTTGTCATATTACTAATACTGAGATATCGAACTTGCTATGTTGTTGTTTTCATTGGTGATGTCATTATTAAGTTTATAGTTTTAACATGGAGAGATACTGTAAATATAGTATGGTTGGTTTTTTTCAGGCGTTAACTCCTGTGACAGTGGGGTTTTGTAATAATTTTGAAGTTTAAATATTTTTTTTCCCATCAAGTTAGATGAATAATACTTCTATTTCTTTTATTGTTATACATAGAAAAGCAAGTCGACTGATAGAGCATCGTCATCCAGAGGTACGACATTATTTATCGTTTTACTATTTAATTAATCTTTTGCTATTGAGTGAAATTTAGTGTGGATGTTAATTAATTTATTGTTAATTATATTGTTAAGATTATTAATAATAATAATAATTTATTGCCTTTAAAAATACACTATTTGCTGTTTGAGCTAAAGGATAAACAAGTTTCACCTTTCTTTTTTAAGGAGAACGATTGTCCGGTGTATTCCTGAAGGTGGAAGATAGAACTAGGTGAGAAGTATGAAAATAACAATAATTACAACAAACGGCTATAGAATTTACCAAAATATTGTAGAAGTAACAGCTGCATGTTGCTGAACCAAGTACCCACTTTTATTGGTTGGAGAAAGTAAAAAGTGAAGTACAGTACCTTGTTTAAGTACAAAGTGAAATTCACAGCAAAGCATCAACCTCTGACCTCATTTTTGAGTGCCTTAACATTAGGGAGCTTTTGCTTTTGCATGACGACGTGGTTGTCTAACAGATTCACTCATTGCATGCAGCCCTCAAAATTAACGTCGGCAATACGGCGGCGTCTAGCCGCCCAACGCTGATGAAAAAATCGCCGACGTGAACATTTTAGGCCTAGCCCAAGTTAACCCAAGCCTACGCTGGTACTAGCAGTACCAGTGGTGGTAAACTCGTCAGGATCGCCGTGAACAAGTTATTTATTATGTCTTTCATGTTGTATTATGAGCATTACCGTTAACATTACCGTTTTGTTCCTACTGGTGTGTCGTTTTAATCAATAGGTAATCATATCAACAATATTGGGACTGAGCTAGCTGTACGAAGGTTCATTCACATGATGTTGTGTGCTATTGTGTTATTTTCGTCTGGAAAAAGTTGATTTTTTTAAATTTATTTTTTTAAATTTATGTTCCGGACCGAATAAAATGTTCGGAATAGGGAGATCTGGTTTCTGGAAAGTATTTTATTAAAGGATGAATAGGAATAACTTAGGGACTTGAAAGAAGAAAGTTTGGTGTAGCGTGAAATTCTGCTTTCTGGGCATTCGGAATTTGGAGATTCCACTGTATGTTTTTTTTTTGTAGTTTCATTTTATTCATCATCATAACAGTAACACTGTTCAACATTTTATCAACAATTAGTTGTGAATTTGAACATCAGTACATAGGCTAGGCTTTCCAGCTTGATTGGGTGACTTGAAAAGACATCCATCACTGCTATAACAGGTCAGCATGAGTTGATTTCAGGGCTGTGGCTGAAACTAAAAACTCCTGACGTTATAACCGGCGTCAATTTTATATCGCTGGAGATTTTAAATTTTTTTTTGCCGACATACTTTTTTCCTAATTTTGAGGGCTGTTGCATGAGGTCCTCTGTACTTGGCACAATGTAGATTTCAGCCAAATTGCATTGTACAATCTACAGGACAAGAAATTAACTCACATCCTCACGTGACTTTATGTGACCTCATTACGTTCTAAATTCTACCATCGTTGTGCAGTCGAAAGCTCCCCATTGAACGAGCGCCCCCAGTGTTATATAATTTTCATAATTGATTTGTTGATGTAACATACCAATTTGTTGTCTTTATAGTCACTACAGACCAATATCAAAGTCATTAGATGTATGGCCGAGAGTATCAACAGACACTACTCTTGGTTCATGTCCTTATGATGGAGTAGCCTTCAAGGCTAAACAATTTGAAAGGTCAAACAACGTTGGACAAGGAGGCAATTCACAAATAAATAATATACTGTAAGTATTTCATAAAAATTGTCTCAAATGTGGGATTTCTCTTTTCTTTGCATACAAATTTTAAGAAACCTAACAGACTGGTTTTAGTTGAGATTTGATTGCTACCATGTTTTAGTTATTTTATTTATAGGTAATTTTTACTTACAGCGATACATTCTGCATAAAATAGATGATCATTCAAATTAACAAAGAAAACAATGGAAAAAGGCCTGTTATTTTAACCCTATTAATTTTTTCTCTAATTTGAAATTTGTAATATAAAGCTTATCCAAGAATTTTGTAACTGTGTAAGAAAAACACAATATTATTTACAGTATGTTATTATGATGATATGAGGAAAAAAACAAACTGAATGGTAGTACCTGTAAGAGCGTTTAAATCTTTTTATGAACAAGTGTTTTCCTTCAAGTCGTTATTTAACATCTTCATGTTCATTATAGAAAGGATGACAGCATTGCTAACTTATATTATTTATTGTATCTTGTTCAGTACCAAAGAGAAAGCATTAAAACCTGCAGGAATCAGGAAAAAGAAGGATGAAAAGATAAAAGAGAAAAGAAGAGGTTTTTGTGAATGTTGTAAACAAAGATATGATAATCTTGATAAAGTAAGTGATTATTTTCTTTTTCTGTTTTAAGTCCATGAACTTTATTTGTTTTTTTATAGATCTACTCAGAAAATTTTGAATTGATAGTAGCCTCTAGTTATAAAATGTTTGTTATCCAACAGCATTTGAAAAGCAGTGAACACAGAGAGTTTGTATCCAATCAGAATCACTACAGCGCTCTGGATAAAATGATTATGGAAGGACCAGACATTGCAGCATTCTTGGAAGATGTCTTGCGCTATCACGAAGCACAGAAACAAGACGCACTCAGGTGAGAATCAAAGTTTTATGCTGGAGAGCTGTGGCATAATCTATTAGTGCTAAGTTTTCTATTGCAGTGGCATATACAAGTATATCTAGAATGTTAATGATTGAGCAGTGGTAGTGGTAAGGGTGATGATAATGATAAATGAATTTAAATCTATACAAGACAATAAAGTTATTTTGATTTCTTGCTTAATACTGCTGTTGTGTAAAGTATCTTTAGTTCACAAATTGCTATCCAATAGTTGCTTTAAATGGTTTAATTTCAAATGGTATTATTTTGCTAATTTCTTTTCCTACTATAGTTCACATCAAGAATTTGGTGGTACAACTGATCCTAAGACCTCAATGCCAGTTGCAAAAACAAGCACCAAAAACACAGACACAACCCTCCCTAGTGATCTTCCTGGCCTGAGTACTAGTCGCATTCAAAAGGAGAACTCTTTACGTGTATCGCTACCCCTTGAACATGCTCTGCCAAAGAGACTTGCATCCCAGCGTTCTCCAGAGGTTATAAATGAAGCCGAGCTCGATAGTTCTAGAGTAGAAGAAGTTTATCAGGAGATTTGGCTTGGCGAGCCTCCATTACGCAGTGCATCAGAAGTAGATGTTCAGGAATTTATTAAACATCGTGCAACTATGCAAAAACGAATTGCAAATACTAGCAAAAGGAAAGTGACAATTAGTAGCAATTCACCGAAGAAACAAACAATTAATGTTGAAAATCCACTAAACAATTCTCAGGGATCTCCCAGCAATGTAGGAAAAATAATTCCAAATGTACCATCAACCTCAAAATCTCAGGGAAATGGGGATAAACAGATTTCAACAGCATTGGAAACGATGGCAAAAACACAAAGGAAAAGTGTGAAGCGGTCTTTTGAGGGAACAGAAACAGTTAACAAAGATGGAAGTTTGCCAAAAAATGTTGAATCAAGTGTCAATCCACGAAAAAGGAGGAAAACTGTAACTGAAGACGAATATGAAGATCCAGTTTTTGTTTGTGACATTCCCGAAGAAACAAATAAAGCTAATTCTTCACAAAGTAAACAGAAGCAAAAGAAAACTGAAGAGTCTTGTATTCCAAAAAGGAATATAAGCCATCGAGAACAAAAGTCCCCAAGTTCACATGAAGGATCTCCATTCAAAGCTCGTAGGGGTCGCACCATCAGAAATGAAGGCAATAACATAGCTAGTGGCTCAAAATATATTGAATCGAAGACTACAAAAACAAAAAGTGACACCACTAGTGGTAAGAAGTGCCAAAACCAGTCAAAGAAAAAGAAGAATAGCGAATGCCTACTAAATCGAGTCCTTGGTCAGAATCGAAGGGGAAATCGCAAGAAGGGTGGTAAGTGTGGTGAGATTTTAAACAGGACCTTTGATGCAACACTCTCGGTAGAACATGTTTTTAGCAGTGATCTTGGTGGCTCAGAATTCCTAGGCTTTCAAAGCGAGGACATTCGTGAGAGTGAACTTGACTTGCAGCTACGGATTAATGAGTCAATGGGCAAGGCTCCACTTACTGATGCAGCACTAGAGGTCACATGTGTAAAATGTGATAGGAATGATAACGCTAGTGATGCGCATTCTAGCTCACAGGATTTGGCAATAGAGTGTGTGTTACACACAGTAGATAATTTTTCGCAGGGAGAATCGGACTGGGATGTCCAAATTGATGGATACATGTCTAAGTTGGACGATGATGTGTCAAGGCCCAAAATGGAAAATGATATAACATCCTTTAAAGTTAAGAACCTAAATACAAAACCAGTGGTAGATGCGGATTTGTCCCCTATAAAATTTGTGCCCAGCCCTGTCAAAGGTTCTCGGGATACCCCAAATCAAGTTAGCCATGCATTTATATCTGAAATCCAGGAGAGGCGTCAGGCTGGGTATCAAAGAACTCCAGTGGAAAACATTTTTGGCAATGTGAGGTTAAGACGTCGTGATGTGTTGTTTGATAACAGTACTGAGGATATTGAAAACTTACCAGTTGCTCTTGGAGATCCAATAACCCATGGTGGAATGCTACAACTTCAAAGTAAATTGAAATTATCACCAGGTAAACATGGCAAACATGACAAAAAGATTAATAAAAATCATGGAAAAAGCCCTCAAACACCAGTAAAGCAGTTGCCCTCTCAGTCTTCAGTTGAGCCAAGACAAACATGTCCTACATCACCGGGTTTGTCTGTTAGAAATGAGAACATATTAATTGAGGATGACAACCCAGTGTTTGTTGATTCACCATCTAAGCATCTACCTCCAGGGAGTAAGCTAAGGGAAAGGACAAAGAGTACCGAATCAAGAACTCCAAGAACGCCTTGTAAGACCCAGCGATTCCTGTTTAGTACACCTGAGCAGAAAGATAAGATATGGCTGGTAAAGAGCCCAGGTAACTTATCATCACCACCAATGCTTCAGCTTCCACCAGGCACACCTCAGGAGGAAGTCCAAATCATTGAACAAAATTATGTTCACGACGAAACTGAAATTGAAATTGATTTTCCAAAGTTCTCAAGTCCTTTGAGAGCTGGCAGTATCAAAACACAAGTCAAGCACATTGCTGATCCTCAAACTGGACGTCCAGTTCCAAGCCCAGTAAAGTCCATCCCAACCATGGATACTGCTTTATCCTCACTTATAGACCTTGCTAATGTGGTACCTTTATCACCAATTAAAATGAACGTTGCTGTATATGTGCCAGACTTTGCGAAAGAAGGCTTTGCCAGAAATTTGTTTGGCGCTAAAAAGAGTAGCTCAGCAAAATCTAAAAGATCTCCTCCCACTACCTCAAGTGCAGTAATATCTCCTAAGAATTCCTTCATGTTATTTTATGACAAACACAGCTCCACTCCAAACTCTGCCACATTCCGGGCTCGTACCAAAGTCATCTCGCCCATTTTCTCTGCATATAAAAAGCCACGTTTCTCACTGAATCTGCTTAGACCACCAAAGTTGAAGTATGTAAAGTCAGGGCGACGTACACGAAAACAGATGAAGGAGGAACAGGAAGACTTGTTGCGGCGTCTCTCTTTATCGCAGTTCATTAACAATAATAAAAACAATACTGAACCACAGTCCGATGATCCTAATGAATCCCTAGATGCAATTTATGATTTTGAGGAAGAAGTTGATCATACATCATCAGAATCCAGCACCAGTAAAAGGAAACGTGGTAAGAGGAACATTGAGAAAGCCACAAAAACCAGTAATTGCTCATCTTTAAAGAAAAGTGCAAAAAAGAAAAAAGAAGTACCACTCAGGTCATCACAAAGAAAAACAAGAAGCAGCATATGTAGTCTTCAGAAGCTGGAGCTTAGTCCACAAACATTGAAAGAACTCTACAGTGATGGATTCTTCTGCTGATATTTGACAGCATTATATTTAAGAAAAGAAATAATATACTAAGGGTAGATCTGTTTGTTTTGGTGTTTTTATTTTAAAGAAAAAATGTTTAGATAACATTATGATACTGTGCACTGATAAGCACAAATTTAGAAAAAGATGTTTCATATGTAAAATTTTAGTGGCCAAGCCATTTTTTTTTATTTATTAATTTTTTTTAATTCTAGTTCTAATTATTGAATATGTTATGTCTAGTACATCATCTACTATTCCCTTATTGAATAGTTGTGGTTCCAGGTTCTAAAAACTTTTACAATGTCGACTTTGCCTAACTAGAATAATTTCTAACTCGAACGTATTTTACATTCCACATTGATGTGTTTTCCATTAATTAACAATCTGTAAGTCAAATTTTATTTAAGTCGAACAATTTTTCAATGGCATTTTAGATTTGACTTGGCCCTTGTACAGTATGTTATTTTCAAATCCTTTGCTCCTCTGGGTCTTATAATGAAGGTGTTTTTTATAGAACAAAATATTTTAATATTGTATTTCATACTGTGTAATTAGTCTTAAATATGGTATAATAATAATACATATTTGTAGCCTGAATTATTGTTGATATGTTGGACGATGAGGTACAGTAATAATAATAGGCTTGTGGTGCAACATGTTGATAGTTCTGAAACTAACTGTTGCATAGTTTTGAATGTTGTTCTAATCATCTGATGATAGTGATTCAATTATCAATGTACTCTAAATATGATGAGGTTTGAACTATCTGTGATTGGTTGATAGCCAGTACTCAAATATGTTGAGTGGTGGCGTGTCATTTGGGGTTTTCTTGATTTTCCTTATATTGTGTACTATAGCTTTCAACCACTTACAACAAGTTTTATAACACACCTAAATAGATCCTAGTCATTTGATTTGCGGATTTTGTATCGGTTATTAAACCCATTTCGTAATTTAGTTCCACTGTGCATTTTTACTTACATTGCACAGTGCTTAGGAAACAAAGTCTTTTTCTGGAAGGTTCCATAAAATGACGTCCATTGCACAGCGCCTAGGATACAACTTGACTTCAACCTAATACAATCTTTTGATTAGTTGAAAGATGCTGGACTGTTCCATTTAGAAAAACGGTGGATTTATTTTTTTTAAATATCAAATGACAAGAATCTCCATTCAGAAAAAGGTAGATTTTTAAAATATAATATCTAATGACAAGTGTATTTTATTTGCGCAGTGGAAAGAATATTTTCTTGAGTTGAAAAATTGACTCTTCTGAAACAGTCAAGTCTTTCAACTAAATGAATATTTTCTTCCCATTGTGCTCATAAACATTCATTATATGTATACTATTACCATAGAAACATAGAAATTCTCAGAAATGTAACAGTTCTTTTGCGAACCATCTACAGTGGTGAAACCTAAGACAACTATATAAACCATGGAGTGTATTCTTCCATGGTATAACCTATTATTGTTATTACAGTATTATTGTTATCATATGTTTTTTATAATATGTGGTAGCAATATTCCTCCATTCCTGTGCCATCCTTGTAGTTGCTTTAAGACTTGTTCAAACTATTAATTTCTTTTTGACAAAAACATGTGATATAACTACATTTGGCCATGTTGCCATGTATAGGCACATCATGACTATATATGGACATACAACAGTTTTTCATATCCTCAAAAGAGCTTTACACAGAGCATGCTATCATATTTATCCAGAATAAAACACATTACTATAACCAGGGAGATGTAAAAAAAAAATCTGCTATAACTCTTGGACTCTTTCCCACTCTAGCAATTGAAATAGAGAGTGTGCGATTGTGATAAAATTGTATTATTTGATAATTTGAGATAATTTTCCAATTTGATTGTACTGTAGATGTAATTAAGAATAACAAACCAATCAGTGAGAAATAATTCATGTTTAAGTTATCAGGGTTTTCAGATTTGTGTGCCAAAAAGAAATTAGTTTGTAAATATTTAAAAATGTACATATTGTAAATAGTTATTAAATATTTTAAAGAATGATTTTAAATGTTCTATATTATAATTACAATTGTAAATTAGGATTTTTTCTGAAAGATTGGTACGGTTTTGTTGAAAATTTGGTTTATCCATATTACAATTTCAGAGAAACGTACATGATTTCATGAAATCATTGTATTGTAGAAAAGCTTATTGTACACCATTGGTAGTAGAAGGTTATTGCCATTGAAGATTGCTTGATAAAGGAACTGGTGGAAGCCGTGTCGTGCAGCGGTTAAGGCTGTGGCTTTTAATTGAGACATTGCGAGACCGACACTGGTTTCACTAGTTGTGTCTTGTTCAAACTTCATTTGTGTCCATGAGGAATGAGTACTTGGTAGGAGGTGGATGATTCCAAATGAAATTTGTAGTGCTTAATTACATGCATATCTTGGATACTCCCCCAAAGACAGAAGAAGTTCGCATTGTAATGTGTGATGATTGATTTTGTATCCAATAATGTGGAGAAAAAACATCTTGAGCAGTTCTTTAATTACTTTTTAAGTTCTGTAAAAAAAAAAAGTGAAAAAAAGTATTAAAATTCAATGTCGTCTTTTTCAAAGCTTTACAGACAATTAATCATTAAACAGCTCCTTTATCAATGCAATCTTCAATGGTCTGTAATTTATGTATAGGGGCCAGTTCTTTTAAGCTTTTAAAGATTGTATCTCCACACATTTACTGAGGTGTATTAGTAACATTGACTTTTCCGGAGTGTTATTCAATAATTATAATGACGGATCAATCATAATTTGGTAAGGAATACGCGCATGTCCCACAAAGATATTAGGTACATTTATACTGTCATTTTTTGGGAGCTTAGCAACAATATCCAAAGGGCAGTGTCAAGGGGAAATGTCCATTCCTGTCACAAAGATAGTTTTAGTGTTAACGTTCTCTTAAGTTGTGATAATTTAAATCAAAGATACATTAGGTAAATGTTACATTATTTATTATATTATTTTTTTAATCATATTATAGCCTGTTTATTTTAATTGAATACAGTTATGTTAACTGGTATTGGTAAGCATAGGTTTTATCTTCTTTTTTACTTGTGGATATATATGAGTGATAATTTGACTAACAAATAACCATACTTTATGGTTATAAATTCTGACTTTTGAATAAACATAGTTATTACATTATATTAAAAAGTGATACTGTGAACGAGTGTGCATATTATCAATATTGTCTTCATTTTAATACTGTTTTTTTTTTTAAATAAATAGAACACAATCTGAGTTAATATACAAATATTATTTTGTAAATTGTATTATATCCAAGTGTGAGACTGCAATGAAAAGGGTTATACACCATCAGAGAAAATATTTTTATGTTGCGCTGTTAAACTTGAAAAATAGGGGTAAAGAAAGGAGCGTTCACGTTTCAGCCATGTTTCTACCAATCCTTTCACCACTATCATGGGCGTCGATCGGTGGGGGACAGGAGGACACGTCCCCCACTTTTCAAAGTAGGGGTTACATCATATCAATTGACCCCCAACTTTTCACCAATCTTCCATAATTAAACCCCAGTCTTTTCAAAAAACGCAATTGTTTGTACATTTCGTAATCATCTCAGTAACCACTTCATCAATTTTATGGGTGCAACGGTTATCAGAGGCTAAATTTATTGTGAAAACAATGTACTGTACGTTGTTAAATTTGGAAGCGTGTAACCCTATTAGGCCAATATTTTTACGAACTTAAATGTGCACAATTTCTACTATAAACGATATATCTGTATACCTGCATGTTTCCATTAATTAAGGTATCGCTTTCTATAGTATGCTATTAAATAATTATATACTTTGTAATTGTGTATGATAAGGAAAACCACTATCACATGCCTATAACCTCTCATCGTTTGCATTCTGTGTCATGTCGGCTCCATCGGGCAACGACTGAATGCGGAACGATGTTTAGGAGTTTCATAACTCTGATTAACCTCAGGGGCAAGGTTGTTCTGCGTAATGTACACATTAGACTCGTTATATATTCTAATTCCCATAAATAATACAAATAGACCACACAAAGATTTTTTAAATTTTGTATAAAATTTTATTTTAAAGCCTTTTAAAACACTGCACGGAACAGTATTACAGATATTTAAATTTACTTATGAATAATTATGGGAGCATTGATTTTTGTAGCTTAAATGTACGGGGTCTTAGAATTTTAAACGTTAAACTGTTTTTAATTGGCTGAGAGATCAGCCTTTCTCTATATACCTGCTTCAGGAAACTCACTACTCTGGAGGTTGAAATAGCATGGCGTAAAGATTGGAGCCACGATATTGTATTCAGTAATGGGAAAAACAATTCGGCCGGAGTCTGTATTCTTTTCAAATTGAATGTGAGCTATAAAATAGAAAATGTTTATAAGGATCAACAAGGAAAATTTATAATTATAAATTTACACAAAAAAAAAGATAAACATTTTACAATTGCAAGCATCTATGGTCCGAATGATGACAACGGTGCTTTTTTTGAACACTTTAACGATAAACTTGAAGAGTTCACAAAGTACTCAATAATTGGTGGAGATTTTAGTACTGTTCTTGATCCAACACTGGATAAGAGAAATGGAAAGGGTAAAATTCACCCACCCATCTGTAGAGCAAATATAAAAGATAATTTAAATTTAATTGACATCTGGAGACAGGAAAATCAAAATAAAACTAAATTTACTTGGCACTCCAATCAATCGCCGAAGGTATTTTGTAGATTAGATTATTTCCTTATTTCCTATTAACTTTGGTCTCAAACTGAAAACGCATCAATTTTACCAGGTTTTAAAAGTGATCATTCAATGATCATATTATCAATTCATGGGATAACAATAAAAGAAGGCCAGGTTTCTGGAAACTAAATACGATATGCCATAGTTACCAACCGTCACGCATCGTGCGGGACAGTCCCGCGTTTCAAAGTGATTTTGGATGAAACGAGCATTTTGCAGAAGCACATGCGAGATCATAAATGTGTCACGCATTTTGCACTTGCGTCATAACGAATTATCACAAATTCAGGGGAAAACGTATTTAAAATTAGAAGAAATTTGGTTTTATTATAAATATAAAAACGGTCATACAGTAGCTTGAGTCATTAGAGAGCTTTCAGTTATCTCGTTCGAGAATCAATTCACAGAGAAAATTTCATGTTCGGATAAATGGAGCCAAATGCAAGGGTTATCTTCCAAATAATATCATTTTATGAGTTTTTAAATCTTCACCATCAAAATCGTATTTTCCCGTATTTAAAATTGCTTTAATTCATACAACATTTAGTTGCTTCATTACAGTAGTACAAGTTCGTGTGTTACGGACGATCCGCACATAGGTACCGGTAAGACAAACGGATACCAGTCAACTCGCCCCCTATCAAACTTTCCCTTTTCAATCTCGCCCCTATCAAACTCGCCCCTTACAAACTCGCCCCTTACAAACTCGCCCCTTACAAACTCGCCCCCTATCAAACTCGCCCCTTGCAATCTCGCCCCCTTACAAACTCGCCCCTAAGAAACTAGTCCCCTGTCTCTGCACAGTTGCCCCTTACAAATTTCAATACATAGGCCTATTGATTAAAGAATTATCCCTGGGACTTGCAGGGCTATTTTTGTTTTGAATCGAATTATCAAGTACGTAGAAGGTCGAAATATTGGTTTATGACAGGCCTAATATATAGGCCTGCAGTTAACTATTTAATATGTCTGTATAACTTATTAGGTATTGTCATTGTCATTATCATCATCTTCGTCGTCGTCGTCATCATCAACATAGTCATTATTAAGCCTTCTTATTTTATTATCATTATTATTTTAGTATTATTTTTATTAATGCAGTTTTTATTATTGTTAAATGAATGTAGATAAGAAGAAATAACAGAGGCATTAAAATCTCTCCTTTTTTGCATTCTCATGGCATACTTTATGGGCGAGTTTGTTGGGGGTGGGGTGAGTTTCTTAGGGGGCTAGTTTGTTCGAAAGCGAATTCGTTAGGGGCGAGTTTGTTAGGAGGTGAGTTTGTAGAGAGGGCGAGTTTGTAGAGAGGGCGAGTTTGTAGAGAGGGCGAGTTTGTAGAGAGGGCGACTGTGTTGTGTTAGGGGGCGAGTTGACAAGGGGGTGAGTTGACAAGGGGGCGAGTTTGTCAAGGGGCGAGTTTGTCAAGGGGCGAGTTTGTCAAGGGGCGAGTTTGCTAAGGGGCGAGTTTGTAAGGGGCGACTGTGCAGAGACAGGGGGCGAGTTTGTAAGGGGGCGAGTTTGATAGGGGGCGAGATTGAAAAGGGCGAGTTTGATAGGGGCGAGTTGACTGGTTCCCAGACAATCATGAATATAAAAATCTAACATCTGAATGCCGTGCGTATAAGACGACCCCTTTTTTCGATCGTAATTTGCTATTTTAAGCCTCGTCCTATTATACGCGAGTATACGGTATTTGTTTTAAAACCCTAGGTCACCTGAGAGTTAGCCATACAGTGGCGGATTCAAGGGGGAAATTTTCCATGGGGGACCCCCCCCCCCTTTCATTTTGGGTAGGCCTATTTTTGGAAACGTTTTGAACCCCCCTCTTTCAAATCCTGGATCCGCCCCTGACGAGCTTCCTAAGTGACCCCACATTTCTTGAAGAAATAAAAAAGACGATAAGGTACACACAGGACGAATGTAGAGAAAATAACCCACATATAGTTTGGGGAATGATGAAATGTAATGTAAGAAGAACATCCATTTCCTTTTCTGGTAAACGAAATAAATTAATTAGAAAAGATACAGATAAAATAACTAAATAAAAAACTTAGAAGAGCATTGCGTAAATAGTGATGGAAAAGTAACTGAAATGATCTAAATCAAAAGAAACCAACTAGAATCTATTTATGAAATAAAGACACGTGGTTCAATGATTCGATCCCAAAGCACGTTAGATCAAAGAAGGAGAGAAAAGTACTAAATATTTACTTATAACCTAGAACGAAGTAATTATAATAAAAAGCATCACTGAACTTACAACAGAAAACGGGGACTTAACAAACCCAGGTGATATTATAAATGAGGAAAAACCATTCTATGAATCATTATATAACTTTGAATCCGACAATAACAATAACAACCCATGTAATTTTTTTGGAAAAGATTTATGTATTTAATGTCTGTAAGGATGATGAAATCTTATGTGACCTACCTGTTACTGACGCCGAATGTTTAGAACAAAAAAACACCTGGGACAGATGGCTTTCCTGTCGAATTTTATAAAATATTTTGGAATGACATAAAAGATTTGCTAATTATTATCCAATTTTCTTTCCAGTCTGGTTTTTTAAGCATCTCCCCAAAACGAGGTGTGATATCACTTATACCAACAAAAAAAAGAAGACAAATCTCCACTATTATTAAAGAACTGGCGCCCTATCTCGCTTTCAAATGTAGACATGTAGACTATAAGATTTTAGCAAAAACCATTGCCATGCGTTTAAAACGTGTATTGCCATCAATAATAAATCCAGATCAGACCGGGTTCCTTAAAGGCATATATATAGGTGAAAGCATACGATTAGTTTATGACGTAATAGAACATGCAGAATTACACAACAAGCTAAACTTTTTTTTCTTTTTTTTGTAGACTTTCGATAAGTTGAAATGGGACTTTCTTGATATGTCCCTTAAGAAATTTGACTTTGGTAAAAATATAAGAAACTGGATAAAAATAGGCCTACTATATAAAGACACTGTAAGTTGTTTTATAATGTGTTCCAAATGTGTTTGATCCAATGACCGGGGTAATAATGTGAAGCGCTTAGAGGCTTTGTTAAGCCATTAAGCGCTATATATATATATAAGAACGACATATTATTTATAAACAATGGGATAACTTCTGAATTCTTTAAATTAAAAAAAAGGTCTTCGTCAAGGATGTCCTCTATCTCCATATCTATTTATAATTTTGCAGAAGCACTAGGCAACACAGTTCGTCAATCAAACAACTTTAAAGGTATAGAATATAATATTGTAAGCTTACGGATAAGTCAGTTTGCAGGTGACACTGTGTTTTTTTCTCAAAGATCAAAGCTCAATTAAACCGATTATAGATATACGGTACTTGATTAATTTTATGTACACTCCGGACTTAGAATAAATTATGAAAAAGAAATGTTATGAGAATAGGAGCCTTAAAAACAGTAACTATAAAATCCAAACTGAAAAAAAAAAATTATGGACAAAAGACCAAGGTAAATATTTCATGTAATTCAAACGATATTTTCAAATTCAATTTTATAGTCAAAGCAAAAGAAGCTGAACAAATATTAAATATGTGGAAACAGAGTTAGCTTACTTTATTTAGAAAAGCAACGATTATAAAATCACTGTTTCTCCCGATATTTACATATCTTTTTTAAACTTACCAGACCCACCCGATATTTTTTTTTCAAGATATTCAAAGTAAGTAATATATATGGAATGGAAAACCCGATAAAGTTAAAAGAAAAGTTATGTTTAACATGTTTGATTAAGGGGTTTAAACATTCCTCATATTCAAAGTTTAAATCCCTGAAATTATGTTGGGTAAAATGATATCTTGATGGAAATCAATCTAAGTGGAAGGTGTTCTTTAAAAATAAGATTGAAAAAGTTGGATGAAACATTGTATTTGAAACCAACTTATCTAACAATTCAAAACTGTTGAAACAGTTTGATGGGTTCTATGAAGACATTCTTTATGCTTTATAAAATTTAATTTACTAACTATAATTCTTGAAATTAGGAAAAACAGGAATCTATGTATACAGATACTATTTTTTCCTTTTTTTAAAATTTCATTTCAAACATTTTATATATATAAAAAAAACCAACAATGATTACATAAGAAATAAACTAAAGCACAAATTATATCGTTCCGTTATTCTGCAAATAATATAAAGTATCTTTATAAATATGAATTATATAATTAAAATTGAGAAATTGTTCCTTAACTTTAAAACGAAAAATGTACCACTTTGTAATAATAATAAAACTAGTTGCTTCTCTTTGTGATTTATCAAACCCAAAACATATGCTTTCATTAGATATTTTAAAATTGTTATTAATATTTTAATATATATATTGTTTTGCCTTTTCCCATATTTTCTTTACTATATCACAATCAATAAACATATGCACCAACGTTTCCTGCTTTTCATTGCAAAAATAACACATCGGTGAGTCGACCTTTGACATTTTGAAAAGCATTGTGTTTGTATAAATTATACGATGAATAAACTTAAATTGAAAGTTCTTTAGCTTTGTGTCATTTGTGGAAGTATGTAAGTTCATAAAAATAATATTCCAGTCTACTATTTTTTCCCCCACTCTTTTCCCCATTTTTAATCAATTCCAATTGGCTCTTCAATATGATTTATTATAATGCGCTTATAAATATGACAGTTTCTTGTTTTTACCAAAATAAATTTCTGTAATTTAGATTCAAATTTCTCAGTTTTGTTTAAATTTTGTTCTACCAATTTCTGTTTCCAGAGCTTTGGAATTGAATTAACAATTTGGTGATATAATAAGAAGTTAGTTTTAAAATTGTGCATTCGCTGAAATTCATCTAGTTCTAGTATTTTACCTTCTTTATTTACAATGTTTCTTATGATCGCAACATTTCATCCGTTTTCAAATACAGTTAGTTGACACCGTCTGTAAGTACAAGGCCAAAAAGGCTGTGAAATTTCATTCAAAATAGAGGGCGTTTTGAGTTTTGCTGGCTTTGCTCTGAATTGTGGGGATGACGACCATTTATTTTGATGCGAAAGCTGCGAAGAGGAGGAATCAAAATAGAAGGAGATATCAATAGCCTAGGCCTATTGGGATATTTGCGTATAAGTTTTGTATTATTTTTCTTGATTAATATTATAAACCAGCAGAATGTAATACGCAAAAGTAAGTGGTTTGCATTTCAAGATTAATTTTTCGAATGTATATGTGTATTTTGTAAATTATTAGTATTGTAAGGTGTTACCATTATATTTCCACATTATTTCGGAATCTAGGCCTGGGCTTAGTCTGGCTAGGCCTACTCTAAGTAGAGAGGCAGGCGAGGCCTAGGCCTAGCTAAGCTAACTAATACGTAGAGTAGTACTATTACTATTATGCAGACTATTACTATTGTCTACAAACTATGGATGCAGAGAACATGTGGAATAAACAGCTTCGCTTGTATGTTGTGGTCATGACATGAGTAGAGTGAAAAGTATACAAATATGCCTGTCAAATTTAGTCTGAGAGTGTTATTGCCGGCCAACTAGAGGTGCCATAATCATAAATGTTCTTACCTCCGCCCTAACCATGGTGGGGCTAAGGTGGTTTACACTCTTCATCTGTAAAATCCCTCCCTGGGCTTCTCTATTTCAAATTCATGTATCCGACACTGTATTTTGAAAATGTGTGGAAATAAATGTTAATTTTATTTCTTAAAATCAATTAGATAAACAACTATAGGACCCAGAGGTTCTGGGGCTTCGCCTATGGACCCCCACTGGGGCCCTAGGCCTTCTTATTTTGCATTTCGTCCCTCCACCCCTCCCCGCCACCCACATTTGCACCCACCTCCTTGACCACTATACACGAAAATCGTATTGTTTTAGAATTAGAAACATATGCTCATAGTATGGACTTGTGTAGGACTCGATGAGAAGAAGACTTTTCAAAAAGTTAGTAAAATGGATTTTTTTGAGAGTGCCCTTTTCAGGCAATAAATCCAGTATATTTATTATTATTATATTTCTCGTTTAAATTGAAATCATTTTTGGAGTTTATAACTTCTTGTTCCTAAAATCGTAATTCGACGTTATATTCCCTGCAATGTTAGTGTGATTATAGTATTATTATATTTCTCGTTTATATTGAAATAATTTTTGGAGTTCATAAGTTCTTGTTCCTCAAGTCGTAATTCAACGTTATATTCCCTGCAATGTTAGTGTGATAATATTGTCAGTTTATCCAGTAAAGAGTATACTCATTTGAAATCTCTTAATACTTTGTGGAAAGGCTTAATATTCTTATGGACGTTGTAGTTCTTGTTTCATTCAGATAAAGTTTTGATTTTATCAATTGCTTCATATCTGTAAGATAGCTTAATGTTTTTAGCTTTTGAATACTTTCTTAATATTATATAAATATAATCAAACTATATAAATATTTATAGTTATAATTATAGTTCGTTGATAAAAATTGAATAGTTAATTGAAATGTCTAACTATTTAATAAATAAATTACTTATTATTCAAAAATTAAGTAAGTTATTTTATTTAATAACTAATCTGTAAAAGTATCTATGAAATTAATTATTTTATTAAATAAATTATTTTTTCATATTATTATTAAATTATTTATTTATTAGTTATGTAACCGTTAATGAAAAAATTATTAAATCAATTATATTCTAATAATTATTCAGAAATTAGATAATATTTTTATTATATTAAAAGATTAAATAAATTATCAATAAAAATATTTGTTAAATTACTTATTTAAATAATTTAAATTAAATTAGTTTATTATTGAGGTTGATGCAAATATAATAAAATGATCGCAACATTTCATCCGTTTTCAAATACAGTTAGTTGACACCGTCTGTAAGTACAAGGCCAAAAAGGCTGTGAAATTTCATTCAAAATAGAGGGCGTTTTGAGTTTTGCTGGCTTTGCTCTGAATTGTGGGGATGACGACCATTTATTTTGATGCGAAAGCTGCGAAGAGGAGGAATCAAAATAGAAGGAGATATCAATAGCCTAGGCCTATTGGGATATTTGCGTATAAGTTTTGTATTATTTTTCTTGATTAATATTATAAACCAGCAGAATGTAATACGCAAAAGTAAGTGGTTTGCATTTCAAGATTAATTTTTCGAATGTATATGTGTATTTTGTAAATTATTAGTATTGTAAGGTGTTACCATTATATTTCCACATTATATTTCGGAATCTAGGCCTGGGCTTAGTCTGGCTAGGCCTACTCTAAGTAGAGAGGCAGGCGAGGCCTAGGCCTAGCTAAGCTAACTAATACGTAGAGTAGTACTATTACTATTATGCAGACTATTACTATTGTCTACAAACTATGGATGCAGAGAACATGTGGAATAAACAGCTTCGCTTGTATGTTGTGGTCATGACATGAGTAGAGTGAAAAGAATACAAATATGCTTATTTCCAGCTCTTCAAAATGATTCAATAATCCATTTAATGATTGAAATACATACTACTATAGCAAATTTAATTACGTTTAATAAGAATGGTAAAATTATAATTAACGAACGTCAAACCCTGTTGTAAACTGTTTACAGAAATTCATTCAACCAATTCAGGGATTCCCCAGTGTGCGTTACTTTGCCGCCGACTCGATCGTGTGTTCAATAATGCCAATGACTTTTTAAAGAGTAGAAAACTCCTTTGTACAAAAAAATGTTTGGTCAAGTTAGTGTAATTTAACATGACTAAACACTTACACGTTTGGGGGATTTGATTTGCGTACACCATGGATTCATGGTAACTTGCCAAAGGGCCTCAGCAAGTCAGTGCCGTGGTGAGCATGGGCACCGTGGCTTGGGCCGACGCTAATTTCAAGTGCTGGCAGTTGAACTCAACGTACACTTAACCAGAAAAGTTAAATTTACGTCACCGATTATGCAAGTTTATCAAAGTATAACTGCGCATGTGTAATCTTTTTCACGTAAATATGTCCGATTTGTTTACGGCGACGTAAATATATCCACTTCCTAAATTTAACCTAAAAACCTAGGCCTGCAGTATACTATAATAATAGAACTGTAGGCCATACTGTAATTTATAAAGTTTTTTAATTGTGCTGTGGATATCTCAAAAATCAGCTAAAATTTGAGCTGAAAATCGCTAGGAAAATAGGTTACGATTTTTAATTGCTTCTTAATTGCATTGGTTATATATTAAGGTTTGGTCAAACCAAATTTTCAGACAAATCTGCACGGAAATCGGCCCTTAATTTCCGAAATACGCGAACAGATTTCTAGGCCAAGTTTTTGCGCAGATTATATTCCTGTGCAGGTCTTACTATAAACGTCTGGTCTGTGGGTAGGCTAGGTCTATATATTAATAACATACAGTACATAAATACAGTATATAGGCTTACAGATAAATAAGTTAATTATACTGTAAATTAATGTTATATGTCTGTAGAAAAATGTTCTGTCAACCTAAAATTCTGAAAATACGAGTACGATGTGAACACACATTGAATTTTAGAGATTCCTCTTTAGTTCGAAACATTTGATCAAATAAAACAGAATAAAAAATATTATATTTTCACATGTTTGTCGGAAAATATATTGACGAGTATGATATGAACGGATATGAATGCTAGGCCTACAGTTTACTGTATCCCAATCAATCAGTATTAGCGCTACAGGCGTTCCATACATTTTGAGCTTGGCCACTTTGACTCGCAGGCGCTTTGACCATACAGTACTCCGGCTAGTGCCAGTGGTGGAATGCACTCATTACTTAAAAAAAAGCAAGCTTTTAGGTCTAAGCTAGATTTAAAAAATTACCACGAAGTAAAAGTCCTCACTTGAGGGAAGTCTGGTTAATATGCCTAATTAAATATATTGTTTGATACTAAAGCAAAAACAACACTTCCTGATTTTCTAAGCAATTAGGCCTAGCCTACATGTACTGATATAGCATAGCAGCCAAAAGGGATGGCCTTCCCATACAGACTGATTTATAGTACTGTATAAATATTCTTTGACCCATTTTTATTTTATTGTATACTGTATTTATAGCTAACTTTGGCCAAAACCCAGATTGTAAATACAGAGCCTGTGTAGGAATTTCCCCCATAAATAATTTAGGCCTAGAAATCCATCCACACAATTTCAAAATCATAATGCACTGTAATTACAATTGGAATCTTGCAATTGTGACCATGGTGATTGCATAAAAAAAATGAAATCATGAAATGTAATACTGTATCTAGGTTGACAACACAATGCTTTGTTACCTGCTTTTTTGATTTTTTATTAAAAAAAAATAATATCAAGGGTATATTGAGTGCTTGTATCAGTCCTAGATTGACTGATTGATTGATTGACTGTCCCAGGGCAGATTCCACAGACAAGTAAGCTACGGTCACACTAGCGTCTCAAGCCTGGCTTGACTCACCGCGGGTGAGATTTCCAGCCAGGCTCGAAATTCTGGGTCGGTCACACTAGTTGGATTGACCTCTAAATTATGAAAGTCGAAACAGTAGAGCCGTAAAGAGAGAGTTTCGCCAACTCTGTTTCACGGGATTCGATATACGCGCGTGTGATTGGATGGATCACAATCAAAGATTTTACACCAGACGTGCCTGAACCACTCTTCTTCAACTGATCTTTTATCAGCTTGTATTGGGCTCGCAATGCCTTCACTTTTGTTTGAATTTGGGCTGTCGTTTTATGTCTTGTTGTTTGTTTTTTTATTTTCTATCCGGTCTCTCAGCTCGTGTTGGCCCCACAAATTTACCAGGTCAGCAGTTTCCTGGTCGCTCCAAATCAATCGCATTATTATTA